CCCAAAGAGTGTGTCAGTGGCAGGGCAGGGTTTGGAACTTCTTAACTCCCAGGCTGGGGTTGTTTTCAAAGCACCATGACTACTTCCCTCTGTACCTGGCCATCTAAAGGAAAATGAGTCACTCTAGCTTTCAGACATCACTGTTGCTGGGGAGAGGATGGAGAAAATGTCAACTTGGAGACTCTGCACAATTGTTTGGCAAGGTGACACTTGCGTTGTAGAGTTGCAGGTTGGTTTGGGAATAAATCACCAAACACCTGATTTCACTTATATCCCTGCTCCATCTTCGGTCACCAAGCCATATCATCTGATGTCAGAGCCAGGCAGGGGGGCCTCTCTGAAAGGCTCAGGGGCCCAGTTGTTGCCTAAAGGAGCCCCATGTGGACTATCTGGGATAGGGAGTGGAAGAATGGAGGGATGAAAAGACAGAGAGGTATGGCATGAGGGACAAATGAATGAAAAAAAAAACAGGAAGAATTAGAGCTAAATGGGGAGGGAGAGAGAGACTTTGATAGTGTTTCATGGCATGAGGGACAAATGAATGAAAAAAAAAAAAAAACAGGAAGAATTAGAGCTAAATGGGGAGGGAGAGAGAGACTTTGATAGTGTTTGAGTGAGAAGAATGAGAGTTAATGGTATCCTATACACTTCCCCTATTGTACAGATGGCCTACAAAGATTAGATTTGTACTTACATACTGAAATCAATGTCTATAAAATAAGAAAATAAGTTGCTATAGGTGGATGGACAGACACACAGACAGGCAGCCAGACTGCATTAGAAGGAATCTGGATGGTGTGGTCTTGTCTTTTCAGGCCCCTTTAACATAACCACAGCCTAAAGGGTGGAAGCTGTACCCCTACCCAGACGGTCCCAGCCCTTCTATGAGCATTTTCCTGAAGTCCATACATTAGTATGCCAAGGACTCCCGCCCCGCACCCCAAGGCCTCCCAGTTGTTAAGAGGTGGCAGTCTGATTCCATCTCTCAGCCTTTAGGAATGTACCTTTAGCTGTTATCCAAGGCCACCACTCCTCTCTTAGGAAGATCCTGGAGGATAGTTGGTGATCCTTCTCACCAAAAACCCAAAACCACAGCATAACAGTGGTGGTGGTAGTGAGATGAGGGTGTTTCTCCTCAAATCATCTCTCCTTTCCCTGCCCATATGTGACATGTGACTCTGGCTCTCTTACTCCAGCCCAGCCTGGACAGACTTTTCTGCATGTAAACAAGCCTCCTCCCTCTCTCTACAGGAAGAAAGGGGTGTGGCTGGACTGGACCGTGGTGACTCTGTCTCTCTAGCAAGGGCAGGGAGAAGATCCCTTCTGCCTCTTCAGCCTGACCCACCCTGAGAGTGCTCTGGTTTGGGACCAGCTTGTGAAGGAGGGAAAGCAGGAAGCCATAAAGAGGATTGGAAAGAAGCAAAGAAGAGGCACTGGAGTGGGGGGATTAGAGGATGAAAGAAGTATGGATTCAGCTGAGGGGAAACCTAAGATGAAGGGGACACAGGGTGGTGAGAATTCTCAACTGAAGTCAGGGTTCTGGACCCAAATCAGAAGAGGTGGAGAGTGCTGGGATTCTGGCAAAGGGTAGGAGAGACTGGGGTTATTGTCAAACATGAGGGGGGCATTTGAAACTGAGAGCCTCCTGGGAGGTGAATTGGATTTTGTGAGTAGGGAGAGTTTGAGTCTGTGTGGGGTTTTAGGTTGGCAGTATGAGACTCAAAATTTCTTTGACTCTCAGCTCTGGGGCTTGGCTGGACTTGGAGGGCAGAAAGAGGGGTGCATGTCCAAGATAAGTGTG